CAGGTCCAAACTGCCCCCATCTCTCACAGGGGTGGTTGAGACCAGCTCTGAACGGGTCACTGCTTCTGTCCTTGCTCTTGGATGTCCACCTAGGGTTGTTTTTCTTTTTTCTTCTTTTTAATTTTGAATTTTTTTATTATTATGTTAATCACCATACATCACATCATTAGTTTTTGATGTGGTGATCCATGATTCATTGTTTGCGTATAACACCCAGTGCTCCATGCAGAACGTGCCCTCCTCAATACCCACCACCAGGCTAACCTATCCTCCCACCCCCCTCCCCTCTAGAACCCTCAGTTTGTTTCTCAGAGTCCATCGTCTCTCATGGTTCGTCTCTAGGGTTGTTTTTCTTAAAGGGAGTGTCAGATGATGGACCTCTTCTGCATTTCAAAGATTCCCCATCTTCTTTAGAGAACAAGCCAGTGTCCTTAGGGTGACCTACAGGACCGTCGCTCCCCCAGTCCTCACTCTTGCTCTGGGCTCCGGCCATACTGGTGTTCCTGGAATCCCTCAGGCAAGCTGGGCATATTCTCTCTAACAGACTTTTCTGCTTGTTGTTTCTTCTGGACAGCCCTTCCCGGGTGTATAGTTGGCTCTCCTGGTTCCTTCAAGTCTTGACTAAAAGGCCATTTTCTCCGTAAGGTCTACCTTGACCTGTGTTTCTAGTATTTCAGACCATTCCCATAGCAGAGTTTCATATCCAGCTTTTCTGCTTTATTGTTTTTCGTCATCATTATTTATGTTTTTTACTTTTTTCCCCTACTATTTCAGACCATTTCCATAGCAGTTTCGTATCCAGCTTTTCTGCTTTATTTTTTTCATCATTATTTATGTTTTTTACCTTTTTTTTTTTCCTGTCTCCCCTACTGGAATGAAAACTCTAGGAGGGCAAAATCCTTTTGAGGAAAGCTTTTTGTTTATGAAAACCTTCCGTATCTTCTCATAGTACATGCTCAATGAATGAATAACTGAATGAATAAGTGACTGAATGAATATAATTAAGTAGTTCTGGAAGACTCCCTCAGAAACTGATAATATAGTTGACTTTGGGGAAGGAAACTGGGTGGCCAAGGTTAGGTGGGAGACTTTTCATGGTCAGTTCTTTTGTAATATATTTAAAAATTTGATTATTTACCTGTTAAAATATACATAAATTAATCCAACATTTAAAAACTAGTCCTTTAATTGGCAGTCTGCCATTACTCAAGCCTTGCTGGTTTATAAAATCTTTGTGTCGCCAATCCAATTATGAATAATGTTCTTTGATTCTAGTTTTAATTTACCTTTCTGTTACGAGTGAGGTTAAGGATATATGAATATATTTCATGTCCCGTGCACTGTGCACACATACTTTACTCATTTTTCTATTAGGTGGTTGTCTTTCCATATTGATTTGGGAGGAATTTATTAACATTAGCGATAGGAGTTGTAAATGTGTTTTTCCATTTGTTGTCTTTTGACTTTCCTGTTTTTTTAATGCGATAATTCATGATTGCAGGTAGTTCAATTTATCACTTTTTTTCTGTAAAAGTTAATTTTTTTCCTTGAACAGTTTAAATAAAATTGCAGTTATCTGTTCTTTAAAGATTTGGAATCTTTATGCCATGAAACTAATTGTGTTTGGATGTTTTGTGGAGTAGAGCTCTTGACAACTCTCTCTGTTTCTTCTACTGTAATTGATGTGTTATTGATGTGTTTGGACTTCTCATATCTTCTGGTGTCAATTTTAATAAATCATACTTTCTTAGGAAAGCATGTATTTTATTCAAGCTTTCAAGTTTATTTTCACAAAGTAGAGGAAAGTAGTAACTTGTCTTTTAAAAAATTTCTCTCTGTATTTGTGGTTATTTCCTCTTCTTGTGTTGTTATTCAAGCTTGCTTTTTAATTTTAAGTTGGATGCAAGTTAATTTATTTTCTATTTTCTATTTCAAAGAACCAGATCTTGGAATTATTTATTAATTATTCCATTTTCTGTATTCTAATTCATTAGTTTTTTTAATCTTAATTTATTCCTTTTTGTTTTATTCAGTTTTTGGTGGTGGTTTTTCTGATTTCTTGAGTTGAATGCCTAATTCACACATTGTTATTCTTTCATTTAAAACACATATTGAAGACTATCAGCTTTCCTCTGAGCACTGCTTTCACTGTATTTCATGGGGTCTAATATGTAACATTTTCATTGTTCATTTTTGAAGTTCTACAGATGAAGTTAGCTTTCCTCATTGATTTAACAGTTGATGAGAAAGTGTTTTAAAAATTTTAAGAGATAGGGCTTTTGTTTTCTGGTTTGATATTAATTTGCACTTTTCGTCTTTTTGAAATGTATTGGTATTTTCTTATGGCTTAATACATGGCCAAATTTTGAAAATACTATTTTCTTCCTCTTCTCTCTTCTTACTTATGACTACTCAGTTTTTTCTCTTATGGACTGAAATACGTGAATTAAAACATCCTTCTCCTAGGAGCCCCTGCGTGGCTCAGTCATTAAGCGTCTGCCTTCGGCTCAGGTCATGATCCTAGGGTCCTGGGATCAAGCCCTGCATCAGGTTCCCTGCTCTGCGGGAAGCCTGCTTCTCCCTCTCCCACTCCCCCTGCTTGTGTTCCCTCTCTCGCTGTGTCTCTGTCAAATAAATAAATCAAATCTTTAAAAAAAAAATCCTTCTCCTAATGTATTTCTATTTATTTCCCATAATGTCTCCCATGGTTTTTGCTTTGTGAACATAAATGCTGTGTTGGTAAGAGTTGCCAATCCATTACAGCCAGTCTTTCTGAATCATGTTTCCGCTGTGTCTCCTATCTGGAACATTTGTTTTGTGACCCAATCCAAATGTCTTTTTTCTTTTTTTAGAAAAAGATTTTATTTATTTATTGTAGAGTGAAAGTGAGTGGGAGGGAGAGGGAGAGAGAATCTGAAGCAGACTTTGTGTTGAGCACAGAGCCTGACATGGGGCTCGATCCCACGACTTTGAGATCACGACCTGAGCCGAAACCAAGAGTCAGACGCTTAACCGACTGAGCCACCCAGGCACCCCCCAAATGTCTTTTTTCTATTGATGAATGCATTTAGTACAGTTTATTTAATGATACGATACAGGTTTGGTCTTAATTATGTTATATACTTCATGATACATTTTCTGGTTTTGTAGCTTTAAAAATCTACCATAATGTGGTCTGTTTCTTTTGTTCTGTGGGTGATTTTACCAGGCGTTAGAAAGATGTGAATATTTGTTCTAGTTACTTTTAAAAAGTACAATTTTTGTAATCCCTATATGCCTATATTTTTAAAGACAAGTTCTCTTAATTTCCTGCTTTGGGAATGAGGAACTTTCTCCCCACTCGTACATCACTTGATTTTGATTAATTATAACAAATGGTGTTTGCCCTGGAAGCTGTCTGTGTTTAGGAGTATAGAAATGGAAGTGATAGAAGGCATAATACATCAACTCATTTAATCTTCATAAACAATGTTAACCCCATTTTATAAATGAGCATACAGAATTAATAAATATTAGAATGATACATATATTTAACAAAGAACTCATCAGAATCCTACATCCTACAAATCAAAAACAAAACCAAACTACCAATTAAAAAGGGGCAAAAGATTCAGTCCAGTGCTATACAAAAGAAGGGATGTGAATTGTTAAAAATCATATGAAACATTGTTGCTCAAAAAATCATTATTCATCAAGGAAATGCACACTAAAACCCAAATGAGATATCCCTACACGCCACCCCCACATGAATAGTTAAACTTTAAAAATCTGACAAGACCAAATGTTGTCAAGGACGTTGATCAACAAGCTCTCGTACATTGCTGTTGGGAGGGTAAAGTGGTTCAGCCACTTTAGAAAACTGCTTAGCCATTTTTGTTTAAAGTTAAACATTTCCCTACCCTACCTGATCCAGCAATTCCAGTTCTAGAGAAATCAGCACATACATTCCCACAGATGTTTGCCCCCAAACAGTTCAAAGCAGCTCTACTGTAGTAGCCCAGACTGTCAGCAGTCCAAATGTCCATCACCAGGAGAATGGATAACTGTAATATAAACTGTGATGTATTTGTACGAAGAACACTACTCACCAGTAAAAAAGAACCAACTGTGGATACACTCAGTATCATGGATGCATCTCAGTCATTACACTGTTGGCAAGAAGCCTAAGCACAAGAGAGTGTGTGTTGTGTGATGCCAGAAGGGGACATGACCAGTCCGTGGTGATCAGCATCAGCATAATAGTTACTCGGGAGAGATGACAAAAAGGACTCAAGGAGCTTTCTGGGGAGATGGAAATATTTTCTACCTTGCTCTTTACAGTGGTATTATGTGCATTATACCATTTGCAAATCATCTCAATTGAAAAAAAAAAAAAAAAAAAGACCAAAGGAGAAAAGAAATTTCAAGTGTGAGTCCCAAACCTACAGAACCGCTGGTAGACCTTGGGTTCATATTTGGTTCTGTTGGGCTCCAGCCCTATCCCCTCCCTTTACAAAAGCATTTAGCTTCCCAGTGATCATCTCAGGTGGTAGGGCTCATCACCTGGCCCTGTCACTGCACCATGAATCCATCTACTCTCACCACACATCACTGCTTCCTGGTCCTCAAGAGGCTGAAGCTCGTGGTGGATGTCGTCCAGCCGTATCACTGCCTGAGCCGCTGACCTCCTTCATAGGCAGGGGGATAGAGTGGCGCATCGAAAAGTCACTGCAATGCTCTCTGCCTAGAATTAAGTGCTAAGGAATAATAATGGGGCTTTTATGCTACGTGCATGTTTTCCTTTCCATTAAATCTCAGATAGGCTGTTTGCTTTAGGATCCTTAGTTCAGGCTGCTTTGAAATCCATAGGGGGAAAGAAACCCTCCATTAAGTTCAGCAGCACAGCCCAGCAATGCAGCAGTGTTCCTATTTGGTTTTCCTTCTGTAAATATTTGTGCTCTCTCAGGCTAAGGAGTGGCCTGTGCTAGAGACTAAAATATCCCCATTTATAAATCCTCCAGGTGCAGCAGGGAAAGCCTGACCCTTCACCCTGCCCCTGCAGTGACCTCAACCTCGCTCATGTGGACCACCCTCCAGGCTGCCCCTGATGCAGACCCATGATCACCTCTCCAGGTTGACTGCTGAATAGCAGAAGATGAACCTGAAATTGAAGGGTTGTTGCAACGCAGTTTTTTAATCAAAAGGTGAAGGTTCTATTTAGTTTTTGTTGTTGCCTTTAAGCTTGTCAATGAAAAGACGAAAACCAGTATTGACGACAGTGAAGTCCAGTTTGTCCAGAAATGGAAGCTGATTTGTTAAAGAAATGAAACATAAGACGAATGAGAGCGTGAGATATGTAAGAAGGTCAATAATAGAAAATTGTAAAAATCTGAAAGAAATATCCTCTCTTATTCTATTTGGACCATTCATTTGGGCTTCCGAATTTCAGCTTTTCGCCAGAGAATCATCACGTGACCCTTAATCAAAAATAAGAGGGCAGAATGAGGCTGTTGGACCTGGTTGCTTAATTATGTCCAACTGCTAATTCCAGTTTATAGCTAAAGGAATTTTGTTCATTCAATAAACTTTTATTAAACTGCACAATATTTAGTTTATTCATTTATTTTTGAGGCTTTGAATTTTCCATATTTATACATTCACTTCCTCTTTCATTTCCCTAAATTCTTACCATGCTTATTCCTATCAAAGCTGTGATAATCCATGCATTTCTAAGTTTCTCTTATATACATTGCCCTGTTTTAACGTATGAGACCGCGAGGAGGAGCAAATGAAGTCTTGATAAAAGCTTATGAAAATACTCTTCACTTCTTAATGTATTTCAAAATGTAACCTGAGTTTAGGCTTTTGTTGGAAAAGAAAAATGTCAAAGAAGTTAATTAATCTTTGTAGCTTTAATAATAAGCTTATAGAAATTGAAACAGCAGAAAAGAGGGAATGGAGGCTAATGTGGGGTCAGAACTTTTTCTAGTAAGAAAAGCACCATTGCTGAATTTAAAAATGCCGTGAAATTTATAAACATCAGATGAAGGTCATAAGTAACAAATAGAATGCCAAAATTTGTCAACATTAGATGAAGGTCATAAGCAACAAATAGAACGCCAGAACATCTTGTCACCTTCTGGACTTTGTAGAAATTCTCAAAAAATCCCAAAGAGAAATACAGGACAGTTTCTTACCACTTTGCAATACAATCAGAAATTAGTGGGGCACCTGGGTGGCTCAGCCATTTAGCGTCTGCCTTCAGCTCAGGTCGTGATCCCAGGGTCCTGGGATCGAGCCCCGCATCGGGCTCCTTGCTCAGCAGGGAAGCCTGCTTCTACCTCTCCCACTCCCCCTGCTTGTGTTCCCTCTCTCGCTGTCTCTCTCTGTCAAAAAATAAATAAAAATTAAAAAAAAAAAAAAAAGAAATTAGTAACAAAGGGGTAAGATGAACACAAAACAAAATCAAAATACATAGAAATTTAAAAATATTTCTTTAACTAGAATGAGAAAGTAAAAACTGCAACAATAGAGTTTTATAAAAGAACGTTTTATCCATACATCTTTCTTTTTCTGGATGAGAGTGCCAGGAAGGGAAAGTGAGTGATGTATCTGGCTGCCTTCTTCCTTTGTCCTGCCTGGTTCTTCCAGTGGCAGGAAAGGTATAACCTATTCCATTTTCTTCTGCACGCTAGGACCATCTTTACTAAATACCCTGTAGCCTGTCACTGATATGATAAGAGAGGAGGAGAAGCATGTTAGACCATCTTTTCTCAAGACAGACATAGGTCTTGTTGCAAAACCCTACCCTTCAATGTCAGAAGCTGAATGTTCATTGCTTCAATCTTTCATTTGAATTTATTTTGCAGCAGTTTCTCATTACCTCTCAGGCAGGTGGGATGCCTCAGTAAGACGGGTGAATGTTATGCCTTAGAAAGACAAAATGGGGAAGCCTACTAATAAATTTAAAAATATTACTGTTATACTTCATTACTCTACAAGAAGAGTTAACATAAATTTGGTGTTGAACAGAAGAAACTAGAAAAATAACAAAGAACCGAGTAAACTGAGGAATCAGGAGAAAGGGAATAATAAGAGCAGAAATTATTAAGACATAAAAGAAGAAAATGGAATTGGTAAGGTGTCAAATAGAAAGTTCTTAGAGAAAATAAAACAATGTTAAGGTGGTATTAATGAAGAAATTAGAAAAAATATGCAATAGGAAGAAGATATAAAAACAGGATCTTTAAGAATTATGAAAAGTACACAATACACAACATTTTTTAAAAAAGATTTTAATTATTTGAGAGAGAGAGCACAGGTGGGGAGGAGAGGGAGAAGCAGGCTCCCCACTGAGCAAGGAGTCCGATGCAGGACTCGATCCCAGGACCCTGAGATCATGACCTGAGCCGAAGGCAGATGCTTAATCGACTGAGCCACCCAGGTGCCCCTAAAATATTTGTATGTGCAAAGACCAGAAGAAAATATTTTTAAAAAATTAAGTTTATCTCATGGCACAAAAACCACTTATAATGTCAATTTTCTTTTTAGAGACTTTCTGTAGTTTCCAACACAGATGTTGCTTTTGTAATCAGAAGAAGATATTATAGTAATTTTTTGGTAACGTTTGAGCCAGTAGTGGCTAGGTAATTTATATTAAAAACAAAGTCTTAAATACCAAACAGCCTCATAAGAATCATATTTGCTGTAGGGGCGCCTGGGTGGTTCAGTCAGTTAAGTGTCCAACTCTTAATTTTGGTTCAGGTCATGATCTCAGGGTTGTGCGATTGAGCCTTGTATTGGGCTCCCTGCTCAGCACAAAGTCTGCTTGAGATTCTGTCTCTCCCTCTTCTTCTCCTGCTTGTGTGCTCTCTCTCTAAGTAAGTAAATAAAATCTTTTATTTTTATTTTTTTTTAAGATTTTATTTATTTATTTGACAGAGAGAGACACAGTGAGAGAGGGAACACAAGGAGAGGGAGTGGGAGAGGGAGAAGCAGGCTTCCCGCTGAGCAGGGAGCCCGACGCGGGGCTCGATCCCAGGACCCTGGGATCATGACCTGAGCTGAAGGCAGATGCTTAACTGACTGAGCCACCCAGGAGCTGTGTAGCAAATTACCACAGACTTAGTGGCTTAAAACAACAGAAATCAATTTCATCATTCTGGGGCCCAGCAATCTGAAGTCAGTATCACAGGGTTGAAATTAAGGTATCAGCAGGGCTGCCCTCCCTCCAGAGACCCTAAGGGAGAATCACTTTCTTGCCTCTTCCAGTTTCTGATGGTTGTTGGCATCCCTTAACTTGTGGTTACATCACTCCCATCTCTGTGGTCATCTGGCTTCCTCTCTTCTGAGCTGTTCTTTCTCTCCACCTCCTTCTTATTATAAGGGTGTATGTTGTCACATTTAGGGCCTGCTCTGATAATCCAGGACAGTCACTTCTCAAAAATCCTTAATCACACCTACAAAGTCCTTTTTTTCCCCCTACGAGGTAATATGCAGTCGCTTAACCAACTGAGCCACCCAGGCGCCCTACGAGGTAATATGCAAAGTTCCAGGGGTTTGGATGACAATATCTGGGTGGAGGAGATTGTTTAAACCCCATAGTTACTCTGAAATGTGCTCAATCCTGGAGCAAGTCAGGAGGCTGATCTTTGGTCTTGGGCAAGGGGTGGTGGCACACTCTTTCTGAGGGACTAGAGAGTAAAAAGTCCTTTGGGATGGTTCTAGTGTGTAAAGTGAACTATCCTTAGATACATGGATGTTGGCCCACAGAGACTCCGATCTTCCACTTTCTGATGGAGGCCAGGGGAGGTGTATGTGTCTTTAGCAACAACCAGTCTGGGAAGCGGTTTCTGGGCACCTGTCCCCAGGAATATGAACTCTGGGTACCAGCTCCACCAGTGGGTGGCAGAGGCGACCAGAACTGACCTTTGGACTCAAGGAGAGAGCTCTTTCCACGAGGAGCCTGGGACACCCACCATGGTCTCCAGTAGAAGAATGTGGACTCATCAGAGGGGCATCATCATCCTAGAGCAGGCACTGACATTACTGAGAAGAAAGTCAAAGTTCAGGCAACCAAAAGCTTCATTTCGAAATCCCCAGTAGCAGAAGATCAGAAATAGCTGGAGTTCAATGTGAATGAGGTTAATTTTAGCGAATGGCTAGCAGGAGCCCATTCGTAGATCTAGGAAGTTGAGGGCATGGATTTATTGCTGATACCTCTTTTCTGATGGTTGTATATTTTGTTACTTTAAAAATGTTTCATTACTTTTCAGTGTCTTAGGACTTGGATCCTGAAGGACACACATTGGATTGAACTGTCTTAGAAATCAAAGTCGGAGACTTTTCATTTCTATTCATTAGCTTTACTCAAAAAACGATATGAAATGAGTATACAGAAAGGCCAGGTCTCAGTGAGTGGGGGTCCTCTGTTGCTTCCTTCTGAATTTCATGAGCACACATGCACCAGGGTAGTGGTGACTGACTGTTGGCCAGCTATTCAGACTTGCCAGATCTGAAGAGACTTGAACGAGGGACTCCCAGAGTTTTATTGTATCTCCTGCTGGGATAGCCACACCAGGACCCAGAAATAATCTGTTACTCAAAATCCTAGGTCCCGAAACAGACACAAAGGGAGATATCATAGTCTGTGGTACAGGCACAAAAAAATTGGCCAGCTATTCAGAGGAACAGAGGAACAGAGGAAATGTTCTCATTTGTATTACTTAGGGGCTTTGCATGTGCAAGCGAGGCCATGAGTTACCAGTATCTGATCACCAGCCTCAAGCTACCATGGAACTCCATCCCCATGTTTTCTAGTTGCTTTTTTGACATTTGTGGTTAGCTGTTCTGCCATTACTCCAAACTGGACCTGTTCTTCCTCACCAGAATTCTGTTCTCATCAAAGCTTTCTCTTGTTCATTTTGCAACAAGGCTCAGTATCTTGTTTTTACTCTCTTTATTGTTCCCTATTTCTAAGCAGTTGCTGTTTGCTGTTTATTTACTTAAAGTATCTCTTCCCTTTGACTCCCGCTGCTTCCTAAAAGTTCAGGATCTCACTAATCCCTCACATGTAATATTGAAATACTTTGTACTTCTATTTTCTTATTCCCCTATCCAGGGCTGTTGTATACTTAGTTGCAGTAGGTAGCTATTTTAAGGGCACTGGGGAAGTCTTCCAGACCACAAACTCTCCAGCTCAGCTGGCTAGAAATGTGACCATTGAGGGTCCATTCCACTAGCACCTGTCTGTGAAGTTACTTGTGTGATCATCTTTCAGGAGAAAAGATACTAGGTGACTATGCACTCTGGAGAGCTCAACATGAAAAAATACTCCAGCAGAAAAATTGGATGAATTCAGGAACTGAGAACTTCACCTTAGGTGGTTTGGGAATGCCATGATCTAAAGATCACTGATTTCGTGCTTTGTCCCAGTTTCAAAAGCCTTAACTTTATCAGCCATTTATACCTTAGCTTCTTTGAAGGAGAAAGGATAAGGTCGAGGATAAAGTTTATTATAACTTACTGTTGGAGAGAAGGCATGACAC